GGCCAAAGCAAGTTCGATATAACGCGGTTTCACCTATAACGCGGTAAGATTTTTGGCTCCCGAGGACAGCGTTATATCGGGGTAGAGGTGTACATTGAGATATGAGCTTACTTCCCTTGGAAGTTTGGATAGCCTCTCTAGACTCGAGGCTGATGTGACTGCATATTGTGAGATAAACCTAAGCTACAGGCAAAATGTGGGGAACCTCTTTCTAAAGCACACACTAGCAGCATTGTGGAATGTTACCAAGTTATTTAAATACTCTGTCCATCACTTACATGAAAACCCAGTTTTCTAGCCAAATTGTTGCTACATATTTTTTACAATTGAAGAATGAAGTAAAATAAGCTTTCAAATTGGATTTCACCCATCATCCCAGTAGATATTGTAGACGATCACATTTATCCTGTTTGTTCTCTTAATATCTACAGCTGCAGCACCTGATAATTGAGCACAGAGAATTATTACTAAGACCAGTGCATGAAAGCTAAACATTTTGTATTTTCAAGTAGAAGGCATCAAAAGATCTAAATGTTATGAAATGATATCTACGTTTGATTGATCTGGTCTGACTTGAAAGAGAAATATTTTATCTCCTTGAGAAGCAGCGTACAAAAGTGTTTTCACTATTTGTAGAAATGTATGACTGGTCCGATTTTGTTAATGTGTCTATGTCAGTTAATGGTAAAGTAGCCAGGATTAGAATTTCAAAAATGAACTTTCTGACTCTTCTCTTTTTATCAGGTACCACAGCCAGGAACATTGAAGCTCTCTCACTTGCAAGAAGGTGTATACATTTTCCAACTGACTGTGACAGACACTGCTGGTCAGAAGAGCTCAGATAATATCTCTGTGACTGTTCTTCCAATGGTTCACTCTGCTTTAGGTGAGAAAATGGTTGAAATTACAGTTTGTGTGACTGCTGCAATGTGGCGTACCTAAAAAGACTCTTGGGGTAGATGGGAATGCAGCAGTATATCATGATGTTGTTTTGTATTTAATAATAGCTTTCTTCCTTTTGTATTCCTATTTCAAATGGGGAAGTGGTTAAAAACACTTTTGGAAGAAGGAAGGAAAACCATCTATGTATATGGAGATGTACCTATCTCATAGAACTGGAAGGGACCCCAAAAGGTCATTGAGTCCAGCCCCCTGCCTTCACTAGCATGACCAAGTACTGATTTTGCTCTAGATCCCTAAGTGGCCCTCTCAAGGATTGAACTCATAACCCTGGGTTTAGCAGGCCAATGCTCAAACCACTGAGCTATCCCTTCCCAACACATCCTTTTATGTGTTTGAATAATTAATCACTTTATTGCAGATGAACATGCAGGGTAGAACTTTGGCATTGCCATATGTATCAGGCATGTTATGATGGTCTATTGTACATTCAATGCAGGATCAATAGAACATGGCAGGGCATATGCTGTTGTGAAAGACCACTAAAGAAGCAATTAATAAGTGTAAGATCCACAGACCAATGATGATAAAAATTTCTTTGTGAATTTTTATTCAAAGTAAAGCAGGTTTGGATTGTTTATTTTTTTTTAATGTTTTTAAACTTTCTTCTGAAATGTTTACAGCCCAGTTATTGCAACATTGTGCTAGTGCATGAATGGAAACTGAAATTGGCTAGAAAGTGACTATGTATTTTCAAGTTCTGAAACCGAGACTGGGGGGGAAGGCAAGCAGCATGAATGATGAGAAGAACTTCAATTCTTTAAGTTCTCAGTTTTAGTAATAGAGTCTTTCTACATTAAGGAAATTCGCATCTATGATTACTGTGCAAAGTGGGGCTTACATTGGTAGAGCATACTTTGAAATGTTACCAGATTAAGCTGCACCAGTGCAGCACTTCTCCTTTAGGTGTTTGCACTAATGTTAATAAATGGATGAGCAGAAGAGTAGAAAAGAATCAATTAATAACTTGTATGCTCCAAAAATTAATTATATAAATGTATTCATGAATTTTCTTTAGAGGGTGTTTTTTCAGAGGGGATGAGGTTTCCTTTTAAATGTTTCCCACAAATGTTTGCAACCCAAATGATATTGATGTAGTTACACTAGTACAGATTTCCTTAATGCAGACAGGGCCTATGGTGTTTTTAGCACTAACCATTATAAACTGTGTTTTTCCAAGTATGGTTTTTAGCTGGCAGTGTACATTCATACCATACTTTAACTGTAGTTGTTGTTATAGAGTACAGCAGTGTAATCATTTGAGTTGCTCCCACACACTGGTTTGCTCTTACAGTCTTATCCAAATGCTGGAGTCAATAGCGTTTTACAAACCAAAGAAACATGTTGGCATTGGGAGAACTGCTGCAAAAGTGATTTGTAAACACCTGATAATTACAAGGTCAAAATGTGTTGCAGGAAAGCCTTTAATATTTAACAGCAATGCTGAGGTGTCCAGAGATAGACATTCTCATTACCAGAGAAATCTAAATATTAGGGCAGGCAGCAATCCAGTTTTTTCCCATTAAGGTCATTTGCAAGTATGTACGCTCAATGCTACTCATGTACATGCTACATTTGAAATTACTGGGGCTACTCATATGAATAAAGGATGCAGGATCATGTCCTTCATTTGTCCTTTGATCAGTTTTGACAAAATACAACACAAAGAAGGAAGGCACACAGCTCTAAAAACAAAATTAGTATGTATGTATGTGCACCAGGGCCGGCTCTAGGCACCAGCAAAACAAGCTGGTGCTTGGGGCGGCACATTTTTAGGGGCAGCATGGCCGGCGCCAGAATGCCGCCCCTAAAAATGTGCCCTGGCCGCCCTAGCTCACCTCAGCTGCTGCTGCCACGGCGCGCGAAACAGCTGATTTGCGCGACGCTACTCGCCCTCCCTCCCAGGTTTGAGAGCCTGGGAGGGA